TTTATCTTTCCCCTAAGAGTGTCTCATGGTAACAGATGGGGTTCCTCATGGAAGTAAGCGCTGTTTGCTTTCATCAGTTGGAAGGCACAGGACTTCACATAACGCAGTTTTGCAATACAACACAAAGTATCTCACAAGTAAAATCCTCCCATCTCCATATTCAGTGTTAAAAAACAGCTGTGCAGAATATTCAAACTGATAACCCTTTGAAGTTTTCCAGATAACTTACATTGCCATTCATATCCACAGGAAGCAGAATTCTTCCTCAGATTTACTTGTCTGGAAGTTCTCTGCTTGTCCTGTGGAAGAAACATGCCATGATGCAATTTGATACAAACAGCGAATTATCTCAATATTCATCCTTAAGATGATACCACAGACACCTATCTCAAGCCTCACAAGTACAGTGGACTCCACCTTGAGGGCATGCAAGTGCAGTAGCATGAAGGACAACAAAAGAGTCCTTCAGCGTGTTCTTCAGCACTCCCCCAGGTCCTCTTCTCCCTGATGGGCACACATCCCCTACACACAATCATACCCCATCCTTACTGCAACTACTGTTGTAGCTTACACTGGACATTTATATTGGGAAAGCCATTTTCATTACCAGAGACTGCATTTCCCACAAAACTGATCGTTTCTAAGCACAGTCAGGAAGCCTTTGCATAACATCCACATCTGTAGTAATAAAGCTGAACCAAGCAAGGGTCTGGACACAGGCACTGCAACTCATCTGGTAAGAGTTACCTGCTGGACTAGTCCTTGGCACACTTTTGACCCAGGCCCCCTGGCATCCAGACAATTCCTCAGCATGGTTTGCGAGTCAGCGGGGACTTTGGCCATTCCTAAAAGGCAGAAAAGAATCCTGCTTTGGATTTTGATAGCATGAACATGGCCAGATGATGTGCACTAAAAGAAGCACTGGTGTTTCAGAAGTTCTTAACAGCTGTGGTGAAGACACAGTGGCATGGGCTAAGAACTGAATAAATAAAGCTGGATGCAGGGCAGATTGGTTCTGTCTGCCAGTGCTACAGCATCCTCTCCAGCTTGCCACCTAGGCAAGCCTGATCAGAGCTGCCCAGGAATGCAGTGCATCCTTCAGTCCAACCTCCAGACTCCAGCACAGCTACAGCCCAGGCTGCTACCTGTCGTGCTCCCACCTATTTACAGCGGTTAGCAGGATAGATGGTTCCCACGGGAGCATTCAGCATAGATTGCACTCAAGATTGAGATGGTGAAGTCAATGAAAAAAATCTTATTGCCTTTCCTGGTTCAGGGCCAGGCCTGTCTTCTCCTGTGAGAGCGCACATCTCTCTAAGTCCCTCCCATTCTCAGGTCTTTGGTCATGGGTGGGTTTGAAGAATTCTAGATTGCAGGAAAGCAATTTCACTGAAGCTTAACACTTTCTAACGTTCTCTTTATTAAAGGACAAGTCTAATGGGAGGCAGAGCTGAAGAACTTGTGAGGAACATATAGTGAGCAAATCTCTTTCCAGCATAACTCGGACAGATCAGCTTTCACCTCAGGCTTATCATTGCCCAGGGGCACAGGGTATATCCCTTGTTTTTTGTACAGACAGAAAATTACACAAAAAACCTCTGGCTCACAGATCATAAACTGGTAAGAAATTAAAGGGAATCGGAGGAGATGCCTTTCTGCTGAATGGGTAAAATTAATCCCAAGTGTAATTTCACTGGCATCAGTGAAAATTCAACAATGGACCAGGTCTGCCATTTGTGGGAAGAACAGGTTCATGTTCTCCTTTCACATGTGTTTAAAAACACATTTTCTTTCCTTTTTTTAACCTTTTGTATTTGAAAGGACTGTTTCAAGAGTAACTGTATGGTTCCACATGCATTTAAGTACTCAGGACAATAATATCGCCAGTTATTTGTTTTACAAAGGTCTCCAGAGACTACCCAGTGACAAAGTCCAGGCGTGCTGGGCATTACAGGCAGTGTTGGACTATGTCATCTAAAACAGCCTAAGGAACTTACAGTGGCATTGAAGTTCAAGCCATTCAAACCTTTGCACTCCGTAGTCACAACACTAGCATTGGGGAACTCCAGTTAACTTGCTTCTAGGGCAAGAGACGCTTCCCTGAAAAAAAAAAAGAAAGCTCACACTGAAATTGTACTGCATTCATTGTTTCTGGGCACCTGGCTTGAAGACACATTGCTAATTACACATCACTAATGCAGTAACGTTGCTTACTGGACCAGCTACAAAGAACACAGAGGAAGGAAGGAGACTCTACAGCAGCTTACAAGAGATTTGCAAATGTCACTTTGAGCAATTTGATCATAAATTTTCATCTTGCTTCTACTCCTGCATGAGCAGGTTGTGATAGTAGGTATAATTTACTATGACAAACCACTAGAATTAATGCATTAATCAAGAAAAACAAATGGTCCCCCTTTGAAATCTCCTGCCCACCTAGAGAGAGTAATGGGGTTATAAATGGAGAAAGAACAAATATTGACTCTATGAAAGTTAAAAGTACCTGGGAGTTCACCCATCAGTCTTTAGATTACACTTGCCTTTCAAGATTAATGGGATTTCTTTCATAATCCATTTTGATTTTTTTTTTAAGCATCTCAGGAAACAAGATGGGGACATTCAACTTAGTGCTCTCTTTAGGTTTGCAAGATGTTCCAGATTGTTTCTGAAGGACAGCACCTCTGATTTCTGGAATGAAGTAGATGCTCCCAACCCAAGAGTTGTCTTTCACTTTGATGTAAGTACTGAAGTTGCTGCCTGGACTGGTCAATGAGTTATTTGTTTGATGGTGTTTCTGGTGCAGTTTTCTGTAAGATGGCTCCAGAGAGTCATCCTCCATCACTTACTTACACTATGGAAACTAAGGGACACAGACACCCCTTGGCATGTGGACCCATACAGACTCAAGAGGACACAAGAATTTACTGCCTAAGAGAAAGGCCTCTGGCACCATTTACTGAACTTGATCTTACTTTGTCACAAACTCTTCATCCCCCTCCAAACTCATAACGTCTCACTCACTTAACCTCTGAAGAAGTGCTATACCTGCCTTCTACACAGACTATTGGAATCTACTTTAGATTCATTTCAGCATTGGCTTCCACCTTAGGTTCAATTCCTCTTAAAATATCCTACTGAATCAGAAAACTAGGAGAACTGAGTGTTTCATGAATGCTGAGATAAGCCAGTGTTGCTGTCCCTTCTGTAATCTGTAAGGGTGCCTGGCTTCCCCCAGGGAACTCAATACTGAGTGGGGATACAACCAAGAGCCAAAACACAAAAGAAACTGCAAAGCCAGCCACGTCTTAAATTCCTAATGATCTGAAAACTCCACAGATTCCAAGAGGAATTTAAAGACACTTCTGACTCTGAACATAGGGCCAGTATCTACTGAGGCACTGGCAAAGCTGCCAACAGACCAGTTCATATTTCATATATCACCTGCACGCTGATAGAAATCATTGGCGCCTGGGGTTTTTTCTCCCCAAATGTTGTACAATAACAATTTATCCTTCAGGGCTGGAATGCAGCAAAGGGAAAAGGAAAAGGAAGAAAATAGGTGTGCATGAACACATGGGTGATGTGCCATGAAAGTCATGCCCATTGCAAGAGGCGCTCCAGGAGCCTTGGGCTCACAGGAGCAGATGTGGTCTGCAGCAACTGCACGCAAAGGAGAGAACATGCAGTTGGTCTGGCAGGGTTAACCACACGTGGCCCCAACAGGATGTATGCTCCAAAATGACCGAGGCCCAGGGGTGTTTTGACAAAACGAGCTGAAGATTTTTCCAGCCCATCGCTTCTCTAAGCTCAGTGCTAGGATGCTGTGTCTGAAGAACATATCTCCCTCTCCTCTTCGCTTGCTCTACAGTAAGGTAAAAACATAATTGTGAATGCTTGATGACTACCTTAATGAACAGCTGTTCAAGCCAGAAGGGTCTGGAACCTTAGGTTATTTTAAGCAACATTTTGGGATATCTCTAATTATTGAGTTTCAGCAAGGTCAACTCACCTTAAGCTAACCAGCTGACAGTTGTTCTGTAAAGAGCACAGTTTAGCTAGGACAAAAGCAGACTCTGGGCTGCTTTTCTCAGGAAGTTGTCACCATGCAAGCCATGGAGCAGTGGAGCTACTCCACACCACAGAGCCTGTCCTCATTCTTCCAGTTAGCTTCCTTGGGCCTCCAGTCCTCCACCGAAAAAGCAGCTGAGGAGACCCTCAGAAGTGCCAGATAACAGCCCAGCATCTCCTAGCAATAAAGGTATATTGAATGCTTGAGAGGATTCACCACATAGACTTTCTTCCTGCCACTCTGACATTTGGGTGATGCCTCCGTGAGCAGGGATCGCGTCCAGGCTCTGTACCTGGTGTTACAACTGTACAAACCAATGAAACACAGATGAAAGAACAAGAGACGCATTTGTGCCACACTGTTGCATAAATGTTGGGGGAAGGAGCTTCACTCCTGAGGTAACAAATGCCAAAGTAAGGTTTTAAATATGAATTACCAAAAGCAATGTTTCCACTTTCAAATCCAACTGAAACCTAACTGTGCCAAGCCTTGAAGTCCATATTCAGTAAGTGGTCTCTCCCGTTTGTGAAGGAGATGACCACAAGGGTTTTCTGCACACCCAGAGAGGATGAGGTGGGGAAGGCCCTCCATGAGCCAGCCCCATTTCTTTTGGAATCTGGGGACGTCCAGCTGCCTCTTCCCAACCCTGAACGCACAACAGGCCACATCTCCAGAGCAACTCAGCCCCTTGTAGACATCTCTTTCTGTTTAGAGACCTAATAACAATAACAGCAGGTGTTACCACCTTTTGCTGTGTTTCCTCTAAAAAGGCAGCCAAGTTGCCTTGGGCAACATGAAAATTCACTCCCATCTTCACACCCTCTGACACTCCACAGACAGCTGTGTTGGGGCTGCTGCAACGTGGTCTCAAGTGTTTAGAAGAAACCTCTGTGATTTCAGACTGCAACACAGTCTATTTTCAGAAGGTGGTATGGACAGCCTTCACCCTGGTGCTGCAGAGATTGATGCAGAGGTCTATGCTGGGATCAAAGCACCGCGTCCCTGGCCTCATGGGGACAAGAGTGGGTTAAATCCAGACAGTGTACGTCAGATGCAGGTAGGCAGGTCAGCTCCAGCCAGGAAGCAGCCTGCCTGTGTTGACGCAACTCAGAGTAAGAGCCCTGCCCCCATGCTGCTAACAAGTTTTGGGGGTTCTTAAGTGACATTCAGTGTCATAAAAACCCAGATCTGTCCTAGACCTCAGGTAGCTGTCTCTGAACTTGTTGTGAGCCAACACCAGTACAGCCTGCTGGGCACCTCCACATCAGAAACGTATACCCCTTTCCTATCTGGCCATATGGTCTGAGAAGGTCTGTTCTTCGGACTTCACTTACAACAAAGTTGAGCTAAAGCACAGAAAACAAAAATTAATGGCTCAGAGTCACAAAGAAAGGGTGGAGCAAAGCACAGGGCAGGTCTCCTTCATCCCAGAGTAGTCCCTAAAAATCTGCCCTTTTTCCACTAATGAGCAGAACCACCATTCAGTGAAATTGTTAGCAAGGAAGCGTATTTCTATGTCGGTCCAAGAAGGATCAGTTATACTGGTGACCTGAGAGACAATACATTGTCTTTACTGATACATCTGCAAGGACACAAACATGAGGGGAGGATGACAGGTCACTGAAACGCCCATGCCAAAAGAGATTTAGTTTTGAAATAGGCCAGAGGTGGGAACATGTCCAGCTGGATAACTGACTGAACCCAACCTCTCAATGCAATGTTGCGGCCAAAAGGGCTACCTCAGTACTGGACGTAAATGCAGCTGAAGACTGTGAGCTATCATTACCTCCATATTTGGGATGACTGTTAGCACCACTGAACTGCCACGTTCAGTTTTGAAACAAACAGTTCAAGAAGGATAACAAACTACTGAAGAGACTTCGAAGACAGTAACATGAAGGATGATATTTAATGGAAGACCTTGGCTCCACCCTACTTCCATAGATGAGAGGGGATCAGGCTAAGCACTATTTATTTTCTACCTGTCTGGGTTTTCTTCCCAAGGAAACTCAGATGCTCAGACAGGGAACTGCAGTGCATTTTGGTGAGAACAAAGGAAGAGCTGGAGGGCACAGCACCCCCAGACTGAGTCACAGCTGCCTAGGCATTGTGGAAACACACCTATGGTGTGCTCCATGGGACATTAAAAAAAAAGTAGATTCAGCCAAAACTTCTTATCAAAAAGAACTTAAAGAGTCCCTTGACCATGACTACCTGAGAGGAAGACACACACTTAGTGACAGGGGGCCAATATTCAAGCTGGGCAAGCAGTCAAAAATAAATTTTATATAGTAGCAGTAAGGAACCGCAGGTGAGCTTCCCCAGGACCTGACAGGGGGAACTAGAAATACGCTCAACTCAGACAGAACTAATTCAGAGATGTCCCAAAGTCTGCTTAATCTTTGCCAGATCACCTGAGCACAGCGATGCCTTTATGAATTTCATCTTACTCCTAGAAACATTTTACAGAAATTATTAACTCATGTGCTTGTAAAGCAATCCATATTTCCATTGGTTTTGTTATATAAGTAAGAAAATGATGCCTTTATGAATTTCGTCTTACTCCTAGAAACATTTTACGGAAGTTAACTCATGTGCTTGTAAAGCAATCCGTATTTCCATTGGTTTTGTTATATAAGTAAGAAAAGTAGGAAGGCAGCCCTTCCTCTACTCTATCTGACCTGCTCAGCGAAGAAACTCACGTTGAGTCCCTTGTACCTGTATTTCAAACTCAAGAAAGCTCTCCCTGAGAAAGGAGACCCAAGAACAGGGGGTCCAGCAGGATTGAGAAGCTCACACAGTACAACTGATGAACCTAAGGAAACAGCTGTCTGCAAGTCAGCCTTGACACCCTGCAGGTGTGCTCCTTAAAATGGAAAGCTGGGGCACACCTGACCTGCTTAGCCAAGCAAATCAGCGGTGCCTTGATGCCAGGGTGCCACAACAGGCCACACAGGAATGAGACACAGGGCACAGGGCCCCGTAGGGCACCTCAAGTGAAGTGAGGTTCACCTACAGTGACTTGGGAATCCGTGAGCTCGATGCAGTACCAGGCTGTTGAGATGGTCTCATTAGGCCGCAATCAACAGTGGTCAGCCAAGGAGTTAGAAATGGCCCCCTGACACCAAAGCATCCAATTCTCTTCTTTAAATACAATTGTGAGCCACAAATCTGCAGTTTTCCAAGTCGTAACCCACACATCTCCCTACAGCTGTTTTGGGATGTCCTCAATCACCACTGAGTTATTGGAATTACCCCTATATGCCCTGTTCTTCACCCCCCTGAAACATATTCTTCTAACTTTTTAATAGTGCTTAGATAGTGACAGGAACTTAAGAAAAAAACAATCTTTGCTTCAAGTGGTGTGCTCAGTATTGCTGGAGAATTTCTTGCATTTTAAGGGCCAGAGTGCCCTCTTCTGCCCCATCCGTGCCTGATTATTAACTCCTGTGTTAGACCAGCAGATTATCAAGAAATACTGCGACTTGTCTTCTGCACACCCTATCATCTTTGAACAACAGTTCAGAAACCAAACAGCTGATCTCAAACTGGAAAATAGCTCTTGTTAATGTGGGGGCTCAGGCAGGCTACAAAGTCAGCCACCACCAATAAAAGGGGCTGGGGGAATGTCACAGGCAACACAATCGATCTAATTAGTTGATGAGGTCAGGCATATTTTGAAGTGAACCTCTGCAAAGTTTAAACAGTGGGGTGTTATTTAATAGATCCACACTCTGCATTTAAAATTTGCCTCTCTCCTGCCTGCGTTGCCGCTAATTGAATCCAGACTGATGCTGGAGGAAATCCGTCTGAAACAAACATATTAAAAGTAACTCAATCATGCCAATGTATATCATCATTTCTGAAGTAACCATGGGGAAATCACCGGACCACAGGTTACCTGAGCTACGGACAGAGCTAACAACTGCCAGAAAAAATGTATTAGTGGAGACTTTCTGTCACGAAAGCACTCGGGAGCGTGTTTCTGGAAACCATACAACCACTTTCGTGCAGCAAAGCTGGCGTTAATAAACTGTGGTGGATCTCATCAGCGTCCCAAGGAGCTGCCATGAGCGTGCCTGCGCTGTGTGCCCACCGCTGAGCCCAGTGACAGACTGGGAGCTCCAGCTTTGCCACCCAACGCCACAGCACCCGCCCCCCTCCCCTTCCACGTCTGCTTTAGGGCCGGGGGTGCTCTGGGGTCCCCCTTTTGGGTCCTTCTCCCCCACCCAAAACCTGCTTGAGGGATGGGGGTGAAAGGAGCCACTTTCTTTCCTCCCGCCCTTGAAGGGACACCTGGCACCA